CGAGGGCGCGCAGGCGGTCCAGGAGCTCCTCGAGCGCCGCCGCCCCGCACGGGGGGCCGGGGGGGCCCGTGGGGTCCCCGGGGGGCACCCAGGGCGGCCCCTCGTCCCCCCGCGTCGCCGTGAGGGCCGCCAGCGCCAGCACCAGCGCCGGCCACATGCTGCTGTGGGGACACGTGATGTTCATCCATGGTGTCACCATCTCATGGTGTTACCAACCCATGGTGTCACCAACCCATGGTCTCACCAACACATGGTGTCACCCATGGTGTCAACACTCCACATGGTATCACCCATGATGTCACCACCCATGGTGTCCTCATGGTGTCAACACTCCGTGGTGTCACCCATGGTGTGACCAACCCATAGTGTCACCTATGTGGCATCTAGTGTCACCGCTAGATGACACTATGGGTTGGTGACACCATGGGTTGACCCACGGTGTCACCATCCATGGTGTCACTATGGTGTCACCAACCCATGGTGTCACTCACAGTGTCAACCCATGATCTTGACCCATGGCATCAACCATGGTGTCACCAATCCATAGTCTTGACTCTTGGTGTCATCTTGGTGCCCACCACCTATGGTCTTGACCCATGGTGTCATCCATTGGGCCACCACCCATGGCATCATCCATGGTGTCACCACCTGGGCATTGGCCTGTGGTGTCAACCATGGTGTCAACCAACCCATGGTCTTGACCCATGGTATTCACCCATAGTGTCCCCAGTCCATGGTCTTGACCCATCCACCATGGTTCCACTATCCATGGTCTTGGTCCATGACATCCCCCTTGGTGTGACCCCTCCATGGTGTCACCCATGGTGTCCGTGACACATGGTGTCAACCACGGTGTCCCAAGCCCTGGTCTTGACCCACAGCATCAACTGTGGTGTCACCAACCCACAGTCTTTAACCCGCAGTGTCACCCCTGGTGTCACCACCTGACCCTCAGCCCCCACCCATGGGGCAGCCCCCAGACCCACCAGTGACCCCAGTGCTCCCAGGAAGCCCCAATTTACCAGGAACCCCAGGGACAGCAGGGACACCAGTAACCACCATGACACCAGGAACCCCAGGACCACCAGGAACCCCAGGACCACCAGGGCCACCAGCCCATAGCAACAACGGCAGGTGCTCCAGGAGAGCCCAGTTGCTGCCAGTAACCCCAGTGTTCCCAGTGTTCCCAGTTGCTCCTAGCCCTCCCAACACTCCCAATTGCTCCCAGTGTCTCCAGTTGCTCCCAGTGCTCCTCGTGTCCCCAGTGCTTCCAGAGTCCCCGGTGTCCCCAGTTGCTCCCAGCCCTCCCAACGCTCCCAGTTGCTCCCGGTGCCACCTCTGGGCATTACCTGGTCCGGTCTCGATGCAGCTCTGGTCCAGACCTGGAGCCAAACCTGCTCCCAGAGCCGCTCCCGATCCCAGCCCTGGCACGGAGCTCGTCCTGGTCCTGGTCCCGGTTAGGGTCCTGATCCTGGTCCCGATCCCAATCCCGGAGCCGATCCCAGTCTCGGAGCCAATCCCAGTCTCGGAGTCGATCCTGGTCCAGGTGCGGGGCTCGTCCCGACCCCAGTTACGATCCCGGTCCCGATCCCAGAGCCGATCCCGGTCCTGGAGCCGATCCCAGACCCGGAGCCGGAGCCAATCCGAAGCAGATTCCGATCTCGGAGCCGATCCGGTCCTGGTTCTGCTCCCGGTTCAGGTCCCGATCCCGACCCGGGAGCCGATCCCGGTCCCGCTCCCGCTCCAGGTGAGGGGCTCGTCCCGGTTCGGATCCCGATCCCGGGAGGCTCCTCCCGCTTCGCTGCGGCTCCGGCGCGGGTCGGGACCCGGTTCGGTCTCGGCGCGGGCTCGGGAGCCGCAGCCTGGTCCGGTTCGGCTCTGCCCGATCCCACTCGGTTCTGCCCGGTCCCGTTCGGCTCTGCCCGGTCCCGTTCGGCTCTGCCCGGTCCCGCTCGACTCTACCCGGACCGGTTCGGCCCCGTTTGATCCCGTTCGGCTCTACCCGGTCCCGTTCGGCTGCTGTTCAGCCCGGTCCCGTGCGGCTCTGCCCGACCCGAATCGGTTCGGCCCGGCCCGGCTCGGCTCGGCTCGGTTCGGCTCGGCTCGGTCCGGTCCGGACGGCCGCGGTTCGGGCGCGGTTCGGGCCGGCCCGGCGCTGCGGCCGCAGTGCGGAGCCCGGGGCGGCTCCGGCCCCTTTCATAGCCCCGGGCCGGGCCGGGCGCCAGCGCTGAGATCACGGCCCCGCCAGGTGGAACCGGGTCGGCACCGGGGCAGAACCGCGGTGGCACCGGGGCGGGATCGGGCCGGGGCAGAACCGGGACAGAACCAGGGCAAAACCAGGCTGGGATGGGGGAAGAACCAGGCGGGAACCGTCACGGGACCGGGACAGAACCGGGATGGAACTGGGGTAGGACTGGGATGGAACTGCGTAAGAACCGGGCTGGGATTGGGACAGGACCGGGATGGAACCGGGTAAGAACTGGGCTGGGACTGGGACAGGACCGGGACAGAACCGGGTAAGAACTGGGCTGGAACCAGGACAGAACCGGGCTGGGACCAGGGTGGGAATGAGACGGGACCAGGATGGGAAGGAGGCTGGAACTGGGGCAGAACTGGGCTGGAACTGGGAAAGAACCAGGCTGGAATCAGGGCAGAACCAGGATGGAACCAGGGCAGAACTGGGCTGGAACTGGGGCAGAACCGGGCTGGAACCGGGACCAGACTGGGGCAGAACCGGGATAGAGCCCGGACTGAACCAGCACGGAGCTGGAATTGGGACTGGGACCAGAACCGGGGCTGGGACTGGGACAGAACTGAGCAGGAACCAGGGCAGAACCGGGAGCAGAACCGGGCTGGACCCGGGACCCCCCAAGCGGGACCAGCCCCATAGACGCTGGGGAGACCAGACCAGGTGTCCGGGCGCCTTCCCTTCGCCCTGACCCATGACCCTCCCTCCAAAGAGGGGCCCAGGCGTCCGGGCGCCAGGCCCCCTCTCTGCTCCGCCCCATAGGACCCCCCTGCCCTCCCAAGGGGCCCGGGCATCCGGGGAGAGGGGAAACTGAGGCACAGAGGAGGCTGCGGCCTCGGCCAACACCGGCCTCACTCTTTCCTGGCTCCCGTTCGGGGCCGGAGCGCATGGAAAATTGGGGCGGCTCCGGTCTCCACCCCAGCACCGGGGCGCCAGCTACGCGGGGGCCCAGGCGTCCGGGCGCCTGGCCGGGAGCCCCAGGGGCCCCGGCGTCCGGGAATCCGGCCCCCCCAAACACTGGCTCCGAAGTCATCCCGGAGGGCCCAGGCGTCCGGGTACCCAGAGCGCCCTGCTCAGAGCTTCAGGTGATCCCGAAAGGGCCCCGGAGTCCGGGCACCAAACTCTCCGTTATCCCAAAGGGCCCCGGCGTCCGGGCGCCCACCCCCACCTCCCCAAAGGGCCCTGGTGTCCGGGGCCACAGCAGGAGCCCCCCCACACCGCTCCCCCCCAGGGTGAGCAGGGGGCCCAGGCGTCCGGGCGGGGCCCAGGCGTCCGGGCGCCCCCCCCCCGTTGTTTACAGCTGCGGTCGCCGTGGCAACCAAACATCTGGGCGGGCGCCGCAGCTGTGGGGTCCAGCGGCCATAGCAGAGCGGTGACACACGGCCCTGTAACCCCCCCGCTGCCGGCGCCCGGCATCCCGGGAATCCCAGTGATCCCGGGAATCCCAGCGATCCCGGAGCTCCCTGCATCCCTGGCGATCCTGGCGCTCCCAGGAATCCCGGTGATCCCGGCACTGCCGGTGATCCCGGGATCCCAGCGCTTCCAGGAACGCCCCTGCTGCCGGCACCGGCGCCCCCGTATCGCAGGAATCCTGGGAATCCGAGTGATCTCAGTGATCCCGATGCTGCCAGGACCCCCGGTGATCCCAATATCCCCAGTGATCCCGGTGCTCCCTGTATTCCCGGTGCTCCCAGGAATCCCAAGAACCCCAGTGATCCCAGTGCTCCCAGTATCCCCAGTGCTCCCATAAATCCCGGTTATCCCGGTGATCCCAGCAATCCCAGTGCCACCTGCCCCAGTGCTCCCAGTGTCCCTAGTGCTACCGATTCCATGGGCTCCTTGTGTCCTTGTGTCCATAGATCCCTGTGTCCATAAGGTCCCTATGCACATAGGGTCTCCATGTCCATAGGCTTCCAGTGTCCACAGGTCCCCATATCCCTGGGTCCCTGTATCCATATGTCCCCATGTTCATAGGGTCCCCATGTCCATAAGCTCCCATATCCATAGGGTCCCCATATCTATATGTCCCCATATCCACAGGTCCCCATGTCCATAGATCCCTGTGTCCATAGGGTCCCATGTCCATAGGTTCCCCATACCAATAGGGTCCCCGTATCCATAGGGTCCTTGTGTCCATAGGTCCCCGTATCCATAGGCTCCCATGCCCATAGGGTCCCTATATCCATACGTCCCCATGTCTGTATGTCCCCATGTCCATAGGTCCCCATATCCATAGGGTCCCGTGTCCATAGATCCCCATGTCCATATGTCCCCATGTCCATAGGTCCCCATCTCCATAGGTCCCCATATCCATAGGTCCCCATGTCCATAGCGTCCCCATATCCATGGGTCCCCACATCCATAGGTCCCCATATCCATATGTCCCTGTGTCCATATGTCCTCATATCCATATGTCCCCATGTCCATAGGTCCCCATGTCCATAGGCTCCCATGCCCATAGGGTCCCTATATCCATATGTCCCCATATCCATAGGGTCCCCATGTCCATATGTCCCCATGTCCATGGGTCCCTGTGTCCATAAGGTCCCCATACCAATAGGGTCCCCGTATCCATAGGGTCCCTGTGTCCATAAGTCCCTGTCTCCATAGGCTCCCCTTTCCATAGGGTCCCTATGTCCATAGGGTCCCAGTGTCCATAGGTCCCCATATCCATAGGGTCCCATGTCCATAGGTCCCCATATCCATAGGGTTCGTATATCCATAGGTCCCCATGTCCATATGCCCCCATGTCCATAGGTCCCTGTGTCCATAGGGTCCCATGTTCATAGGACCCCCATGTCCATAGGGTCCCTGTGTCCATAGGTCCTCATATCCATATGTCCTCGTGTCCATAGGTCCCCGTGTCCGTGGGGCCGGCCGCTGACTCAGCCCTTGGCTGGGGGCCCCTCGGGCTCTTGTTGTTGT